CCTAATAGTTAATTGTACTAATAATTGCTTCAAATTGAACCAAGGTAGAAGAATCCTTTGTAACAAGACCAATCAAATATCCTATGTATACAATGTTCACCTGTCGTCTTATCTATCTTCAGGCCTAAGGTGAATCAAATGATTTTACAAACGAAGAAAGCTGAGAATACTAGATTTGTGTTGAAACAAATTGAGTGGAGCAATTATAATAAAAATAATTAAAAATGCTCCAGAGAGGGGAATGTCAGGTTTGACCTAGAAACCACTATACAAAGCCCAAGCAAAAGTCTCTGTTATGTAACTAATGCCCATCTGCAATGATAAGGAGGAGACAGCCTTAGATAAAGGAGGCTTGAAAACAAAAGCAGAATCAGAGGACTAGGGCAAAGAGCTAATTTAAATATTAAGAATCACACCCCTAGGTGGGGAGAAAGTATGCTAATGAAACATACATGTATGGAAATGAGATACATAGCTAAAACACAGGTATAGAGACATGCTCAGTAAAGAACTCCTTGCGTCACTCCCTTATAACCAATTAGCAAACAAGAATGCTTATGAAGGTCCAATACTCCTGTATAAAAGATGCTTAGAATTAAGAATCTGTGTGCTTGTTACGTGAAATTATTCCGCTTGCACCTTGTATTGCTAGCAATAAATCTTCTTTATACTTTCACCCCTGGTATCTTTATTGGCTTTTGCATACCGGGCACGATCCCAGACTTGAGCTGGGGCTCAACACCTTGATTGTACATCCATACATATGTTTCCTAGAAATAGCTGTGATTGATGGGGAAAAATGTGGGTATCAGGGAAAGTGAACAGTGAGTGAAAGGGAAGTCTCTTGGTGCTACTGGACTTACCAGAATGAAGTTTTCCCCTCTCTGTGCTTGACATTAACACAGCTGTTTCATAAGTGCAAAGCAAGTCATGTATGTGCAGTTATGGAGTCCAACACTACAAAAGCAGCAGTAAATGAACTACCGACTGAGGCAGGAATCCATGCCAGTGCTAGGATTTAAAATACAAGTATATAGGGAAATATACATGTCTGTGGTGTACTGGTAAAAGAAGCACAAAGACAGAATTGTTCAGTGACATCCAAACTAGCTATGAATGCTGACAATGCCACTGATACAAGTGGAAAATGCCATGTAGGAAAGTAAAGGATAATACAATTCAGCCCACAATAAAGTCTAGATGCTGTTTTCACTAGAGCTTGTAGCCTGTCCTCTTTCTAATGATACCAGCTACAACATCTCTTCAGCCCTGACAGTGCTTTCCTAGACTTTCTTCACCGCCTGGTCGCGCAGCTCAATGTAGAAAACAACATGGAGCAGGTCAGTTCAGTGCATAGGCAACTGGTAGGGGGTGCATGGGGGTGCACATGCCCCTCTGATGGGACTGATGCCCCTCCTGATTGCCAACAATGATGCTGTCGGTAGGGCTGGTGCCTCCCATGACAGGGCCTCCACCGTCGGTCGCTTCTGTGGGTACCCCCTGCCAAGATTCAGGAGGCACCAGTCACTCATGGTTTGGTGTAGAACAAAGAAGCACTGGGCATCACTTAGAAGTCCTAGGGATGCTCCCAGAAAAGGCAGCTCCATTGAAAGCAGAACAGCTCAGATGTGGCTATGCAGTGTGGTTGGGCACACTTGAGACAGGCTACTCCATGTTCTCTGGCCTGGGTTCCTGTCACACAAGCTAACTGTACAGTGAAAATATACAGACAGCAGTACCTAGCTGAATGCCAGTCAGCTACCAAAAAGCAGGTGATATACAGTGAAGGCAGTGACACTTCACCCTGTATTAATTTATTTTATGTCTGTACCCTAGTGCTGTCATGCATAGGTATAAGCCTCTTGGGGCAGAGACTGTCTCTGTGCTCTGTGTTTGATCAGGGAAAATCACACTAATGGGGCTCTGGTCCATGACTAGGATTCCTACCTTCTAAAACAATGCAAGTGATAAATATAAATATAATATGGAAAGGAAAAGTGATGTAAAAGCATTTGATAATATGTACAGGTTTCCCTTGATTTACGCAGTACATGCGTTCCTGGAGAATGGCACATAAATTGTATTCGCATAAAGTGAACCCACTTTACAATGTAACAAATAGGCATAGGTTCCCATGGCGGTGAGGCCAGCTGCAGTGGCCCTGGGAGCAGCCGTCACCAGCTGCCTGCAGCCGCTGGGCTGCACCGTGCTCTCTGCCTGTCCCCCTGTGCCTGGGCTCCACTTGTCCTCACTCACCTCTGATCCTGGGCTGCGCTGTGCCCTGGTGCAGGCAGCTGGTGGTGACTGCTGCTGGGATCGGTCCAGCACGTGCTGGGGTGTGTGCAGACAAGTGGAGCCCCGGGAGGCGCAGGGCACGACACTCTCCCCAGTCCATGTTGGAGCAGTCCCAGGAGCAGGCAACACCAGCTGCCTGCACCAGGTACAGAGCAGCCCAGGAGCAGAGCTGAGTGGGGATAGGCAAAGTACGGTGTGCTCAAGTGGCTGCAGGCAGCTGGTGCCAGCTGCTCCCCAAGCTGCTGCAGCCAGGGCTGGGGTGAGTTGGGCCATGGTCCTTTCCCCTCCCCACATAGACTTACCTGCTTGAGCAGGGAGATGTCTATGTTGGTTGCATAAGAGCGAATTTACCTCACATATAATGAATTATGGGTCTAAATATGCTCAACGCAAAGTTCAAATTAGCATATAAAGAACCCCATAATTCAAGGAACACCTGTATTAATAAAGCTGAGGAAGTATTTTTCAATGAACAATTTATTTGGTAAATGTCGCCTTCTTTTTCTGTCTGAGAGCATGCTGCCAAATGCTGCAGTACCACTATATTCCGTAACACTGTCAAATGTCTGGGACAAAAAAAAGGTTTCATTTGCAGACCAGTCAGCCACGGTTTGTTCTATATACTTTAAACCTACACTGCTTTGCCTATTGTTTCTGCTCCCTGATCAGGTGACATGTCGTTTTCCAGCACAATTTAAACAGTGAATTTTACAGAAAAATACATTAACCACAATCATTTTTTTGTGAAACAGCCATACTACAAACTGAGATGTGATTAGGAGAGGTCCCAAATAATTGTAAAAGGGCAGATAAAGTGCCCATCTGTAAGAAAGGGAAGAAGGAGGATCCAGGGATCATCAGACCACTCAGCCTCACTTCAATTCCTGGAAAAATCATGGAGCAAGTTCTCAAGGAATTCATTTAAAAGCATTTGGAGGAGAAGAAGGTGATTAGGAACACTCAGCATGGATTCACCAAGGGAAAATCATACCTCACCAACCTGATTATTTTCTACAATGAGTTGATTGGTGCTGTGAGTGTGAGAAGAACAGTGGATATGATATACATGGACTTTAGCAAGGCTTCTGATATGGTCTCCCACAACAGTCTTGCAAGCCAGCTAAGGAACTATGGGTTGGATGAATGGAGGGTGAGGCGTATCCAAACATGGCTGTATTGTTGGGCTCAAAGGGTAGTAATCAATGCCTCGGTGTCTAGTTGGCAGTTGGTATTAAGTGGTGTGCCCCCGGGGTCATTACTGTGGCCAGTTTTGTTCAATATCTTCAAAGACCTGCATAATGGGATGGAGTGCGCCCTCAGCAAATCTGCAGATGATACCAAACTGGAAGGAGTAGTAGCTATACTGGATGGTAGGGCTAGAATTTAGAGAGACCTCAAGAAATTGGAGGATTGGTCCAAAATAAATCTTATGAGATTTAATGAGAAGAATTGAAAAGTCCTGCAATTAGGAAGGAACAATGCCATCTGCTGGTGCAGGCTGGGGACTGACTGGCTAAGCAACAACTCTGAAGAAAAGGACATAGGCAGGGGGAGAGGAGGAAGGGTGGGGGTGGTGTTTAGAGTGGATAATAAGCTGAAAATGACCCAACAGCATGACTTGGTTCAATGAAGGGTAACGACACACTGGTCTGCATTAGTAGGAGTGTTCAAGGCACATCAAAGGGAGTCATTATTCCTTTCTCTCTGGCATTGGTGAAGCCACATCTGAAGCACTGTGACCAGTTTATGATATAGAAAGTGTCAGCTCAGATGGTATAGTTGGGGATGGTCCTGCTTTGTGTTAGGGTGACAGTATTTGGATCTTGGGGAGCATTAGATTTGTAGCTGGATAAAAGGCTATGACCTGTGGCCTAGCAAGCTGCTAACCAAAAGGCAGAATGGCATGTTAAAAGTAACACTGAAAGACACTTAGGCAACATTTTCCCAACAATATAGTAGTGTTGTAAGATATATAGCTCATTAGTAAAAGAAACAGGATGCAAACCCTTGGCTATCGTTAGGAGATAAAGCAAATTTTGCTTATGAATGCTTATGTTAAGCCAGCCATTTGCTTATGTTACGTAGCCATCCTGTGTCAACCATTTTCTGAAAAAAGCGGCAAATGAATCTGTGTAAGTCTGTGTCCTGTGAATGAGGTAAAGTGATGGTTAAATGGAGGCTGGAACAAACCAGCTACAGTGAGTAACAAGGTGAGATACAGGGGTCTTAGGAATGTGAGTAACAAGGTAAGATACAAGGGTCTTAGATTGTGCCATATTTGTTTGTCTTTGTGATTTAAAAGTCTGAAGTTCTGAAGTCAAGTTATTGGCTGAAAAATCTCAGCAGTTGAGAAAAGTAAAAGTAAGATTATTTCACTGATTGCTTGTGGAGGAAGGCTGGACTCTGAATCATCCAACAGGGGAAGGAAAGAAAAGAAGAAAATGTTTGGCAGAAGTTTGATTATTGGCTGTGAAGGAACCATGTGGCAAGAAGCAGAGCACTTGCATTCTAGGAGCAGTAAGTGGATAAAAGCTGCCAAACAGTCACTAGAGGTTGAAGCAGGTGAGATGTCGCATTGAGTACACATCACATGGCAGGGGGATTTAGCATGAAGGGCACAACATGAGTGCAACATGTATCTTATACTTATTGAGATAAGAGGAAAGTGAGAAGACCAAGACAGTTCAGAAACCAGACATAGTTACCTTTATTTCTCCTTGATGGGCTTGGGCTGCCTCCAGCACCTCTGCTGCCTGCTTCCTGAAATCTTTGGCCTCTCTGCTGCTCAGCCTGGTTCTGAAACTTCAGCTCAGAGTAAGCTGTCATTTCCTTCTGTCTGACTGGTGAGGAAATGAGAACAGCGTTCACACTTGGTTTGCAGACTTGATAGTGCAATGTGGGAAGGGTCAAGCAGGATCCCAAAGTAGTCTATTATCCCATGCTGGGAGATGAGAATTGGAGGGGAAAGCCTCTACTTGGGATGACCATTGTGGGGTGTCTCTTCCACCCCAAGGATTCTGTGGTTCTCTTTAACTAGATCCTGATAATCTAATATAAAACTGACTATGCATCCTTAGGAAGGCTTGCTGCAGATCCTTTGAGGAAAGCACCTTGAGAAAGCAGAGGCTGTCATTAAGCACACTAAGCACATTAAAAACACTAATTTCACCGATGCCAATTACCTTATACACAACAGATTCTTGAGGTCAGTTTAATCAGAAGCTTTAGAGCAGCCTGCTACCTACTCTAGAAGGGCTGAGCTATGGTGAAAACATGCTATGTACGTCTGAGAAAAAGAAAGGGGTTCATACAGAAAGTTGCCAAAGATCCTCAGATAAAAAGATCTCTGAGCTAAAATCTTTAAAAACATGAATTATGCAGGGTAGCTGTGGCAAAAGGAAGTCTCATACCCTGTTCATTTTTATGAAACTATTTTTCATGAGAGAAAAGTGGTTGATGTGACTGTAAAGGTGCTGAAGGGTTTCCTCAGAGCTTGCAAGTTCAATCAGACTGTTTGCAGGCTTGGGTTCCCCTCCCCACTCTTTAGCTCCCTGGGTGCAGGGATTCATTGACAGTGGGGACAGGGACAGGGACAGGGGCAGGGGTTGCTAGAGCAGGTTCTCTGGGGGAGCTAAAGAAAGTAGCAGGGAACTGTGGCTTTGTGAGAGCTCCAGCAGAGAGATCAATAAAGTACAGCTGAGAAGGGGCACTCCAGGTGACAAACATAGGGGAGCTGCCTTGGGGAGCTGTCTGGGGAATGGTGTGATTGGTTACAGGAATCCAGGAAAGACTGGAAGAGGGAGGAAATCCTGGTCTCTGGAGCAGCCACACCTGGGGTCCTGACAGGCACCCCCATCTTCTGTCCAGATGACGGCATCGCCACCCCTCTTCTGAGGCAGAGTGAGCACTGCTCCCCGGGGCGCCACTGCAGTCACTCCACAGTGGGCTACTTTGCTGCGGGCAGAGTGATTTTGTGGAGACCTGGCTGATTACGTGTATAGACCTGTTATAAGTTGCCTGAGTGTTAAAGTTGATAACCTAATGGCTTTTGTTATATGATAAGTATTTGCTTTATCTGCCAGTATAGATTATTATTGAGCTAATTGAAAAATATTTTGTTTGTTATTTATGGGATGTTGAATTTGTCAATCTCTCAGTTATTATTGTAAATGATAAATTATTGTAAATAGTTATTTAGCATGTGGTCTGATTGGAGTGGTCTCCCGTGGTCCTCCCCACACCTATTTTCCTACAATGATATTTGATTCCATACGTACCTTTGTCTCCATGTTTAGAAGAATCCAGTTTCAGATCCGAGTAGGTTATCATGTGCTCTCTCATTTCCAACGGTGCTACAGAGACAGACATTATAAACCAGGCTTTAGGAAGCTGCGTCATTTAGCTTGCATTCAGAAGAAGTTGATGGCTTTGTAAAGTATCCTCATGCACTTTGCTAACCATAGGAAGGACCTATACTGCTGAGCTTTCTAATATGCTACATTCTGTAATCACGTTACAGAAATCACATTCAAAAGGTTACAAAACCACTCCAAAGTTAGGAGACACTGAATTAAGCTTGTCTTTACAACTTGGATTCACATCTTGTTGAAATATGTTATGCGGCAATATCCAATTACCTCATCCTGTACTACCCATCCCCCAGCAGGAGAGTCCTCCCTCAACCAATACATGGGATGCACAGTGTTTAGTTCATAAAGGTGTTGTTCACACACTTCATTGTAAAGTCCATGCGATTCATGGGTGTCTAACTGCTGAACACTACCGGGATCCGGTCTTGAGTACACAATTCATCATTTCCCCAGGGGCTTTGCCATGAGGTTCCAATTGTAGTGTCTTATCCTAGATCCCAAAGGCTACTTGAAGTATTTCAGGGAGGTACCTCAAGATCCTTTTTAGATGATTTACAGACATCAGTGCTTCACACAGCATGGTGATTTACAGACATTAGTGATTTATCTTCGCAATTTATCTTTCATACATTCCCTATATAGGAAACGGCGAGACATAGATTAAAGCTAGAAGTGGACAAACCGTAAAGTAATTCTGCATGTGCAGTGCAAGGGAGCTGGGGTCTAACTTTGCAGAGTAGTTCTCTTTTTGTAGCACCTGGTCTGTTCAAAGCCTCATTCCCACTTGCATCAATTGTATCTCTAAGTGCTCAAGACTCTGCATATCAGACCACAGGGTCTGAAGTCAGACACTAAAACAATGAAGTAGTAAGTGATCCACAGGAAAATAAAGGTCTGTTTTTTGACATGTCCAGCATCACCCAGAAATGGTGATAAAGGCAGGGATTGAATAAAATCTTTTCCTGCTTCATCCCACAGAACCTGAGAGCTTCTGCCTCATTCTCTACAAAGCTATCAAATTCTGCAACAAATGATGCAGGATCCAGCACAGGAGCAGCCTCCCTTGCAAAGGGCCAGAAAATCCCACAGAACCTGAGAGCTTCTGCCTCATTCTCTACAAAGCTATCAAATTCTGCAACAAATGATGCAGGATCCAGCACAGGAGCAGCCTCCCTTGCAAAGGGCCAGAAACTCCCCCGGTTGCCTCTCCTCTTCCCCCTCACTCCTGCCCTATACCCCACAAACCATTCTGCCCTCAAATAGTCCAGTCATGCTGGTTCCTCTTCCTTCACTTCCAAGTTCCAGAGGGGCAGCTCGAAGGATGCTCTGAGCCCAGTAATGCTAATGAGAAGCGCTTGGCTCTAGGTTTCTGTACCAGGCACCACGGTGCAGCAAGGAGGCACAATGTTGGTGGAAAGCTTTGTTCAGCCCTTGCATCCCCAAGGACAGAGCACACACTGTACTTCAGCAAGGCAGGTGCCTGTGCAGCCTGGTGAGCCCAGGAGCTGGAGCGTGCTCAGTGCAGAGGGAACCCAGAGAGACAGAACTTCTGGGCCTCAACAAGGTGCATAGCTATAAATCGACAGTGCTTCATTGGAGCCTGTGGAGCTATAACATGAGCATGGCATCTGGCCAATCATACTCCATGGAAAATGGAAGAATCAGAATCTTCTTCCCCCTTTTGGGATGTGAAGCCACTCTGGGAGAAGAGAGTGGCTTCACATCTCTTCTCCCATCTTCTCATGTTGCATCTCTTCTCTTCTCCCATCTCTCATGTTGCATCTCACCTGCACCTGTGGAGTCAGTCCAGCACACAGTTTGTGATGTCTCCTCCTTGCCAGAAAATGACCATTAAACACTACTTGGTGACAACTTCTGCCAGCTCAGTCCAGCTCCAGGCTTCCTCCTCCCTGCCCCTGACACCTCTGGCATTCACTGCAGACATACTGACAAGCATTTGTCCTTGGTTCCCGAAACCCTTCTTTTACCACACTGTTTTTCTGAATCACCTAGGTTTCTTTCTTGAGCAGCACAGTCCCCTGATGCAGAAGATCTTACCCCTAGAACACCTGCCTACCAGGGCGAATGTCCTGCCCTGTACCCTCCTCCCTTCCCATATCCAAAGCATTCGGACCTGGTACCTTTACTTGCTCTCCGTGGTTTGCAAATAGAGGACACAAGTGTCCTGAACTGGAAGAAAAAGAAGTGCGTCTGTTCTTCTCCTGTCTATGAATCCCCGTGGGAGCTGAGAGGAGTCTGATGATTGGCTGGATGATAACCCCACAGGAAACACTGTCTGTGCTTATCTGAGATGCTGACCCTTCGTGGAGCCTTTATAGACTGGGGCTTTTTTTCTGCTACAGTGTTAGCAAGTTTCCACGCAGAAGGGCTCACTACGAAGCCTGGGTGAGGATGCTGAGGTGCTACGACTGCCGAGTGAATGTAGCAGCTCAGACCTGGTGTCCACACCCTTATTATCATTATGGCCTGATGTTACCCACACTGCTTAGCTGCTCCATTTTTTCTTTAAGGCCCCATTCCAATAAGGCACCTAAGCACATGCTCAGCTGTAAACTCAGGGCTTTTTGTTTGTTTTCTGCTCAGCCTGTGCTCAGTCTGTGTTTTACCCAATTAGAACGTGCTTCCTAATCCAGCACTGAGCAGTGGTCAGCCTTGGCTCTGTGCAGGGCTGAGGCTGTTGACTCCCAGGGGAGGCTGCACCTTTACTTCACATGTGGCTGAGGGCTCAGTGGCTTGCCCAACTCATGTCCTGCCTTGCTGCATTATGCATGGCTGGAAGCTGAGCACTCTCCCAGACCAGGGTATGCTGCAGCGCTCAGGGCCCTGGATACACAACATATTTGTGCAGCTGTAATTGCTTCTTACACTTATGTCAATGCATTCTTCAATCCATGGGTGTTCTCTAGCACTCAGAAGTAATAACAGATATCCAATGAACCCAGGACGGAGAGCTACATGGGTAGGGGCATGAGAAAAGCTTACAGGATACAGGTATACTCCACACCATGGTAAGAACTACATAGGAACATAATGGATACCACAGGTTCAGCACTGTGTCATAGCAAGAGTGGCCAAACTGAAATATTTTCTCATTGTTACAAGATGCCATTTAGAGGAGAATTAATGAACTCTTATCTGTGCATGAACACAGATCAAAGACAACAAGATCAAGGACAACAAGAAGTCCTTTTTTAAATACATAGGGGGCAAAAAGAAGGTACCGGGTAACATGGGGCCTCTGCAAGACACGCTAGGAAATCTGGTTGTCACACCAGATGACAAGGCTAACCTATTTAACAATTTCTTTGCCTCCATTTTCCTGAGCAGGGACCAGATCAGCCTATCCGCCGGGGCCCCTTTAGGCCCCGGGGAGGCACAACCAGTCCTAGGGTCAGTGAGGTTCTAGTCAGGGAACTTCTGGAGGGACTGGACATATTTAAATCAGCTGGTCCTGATGATCTCCACCCCAGAGTGCTGAGGGAATTAGCAGAAGTCATTGCGGGACCCCTGGCACAGCTTTACAAGCACTCGTGGTGCTCTGGTGTGGTGCCAGAGGACTGAAAAGGGGCCAATGTGGTTCCTATTTTCAAAAAAAAGGGAGGAAGGAGGACCTAGGAAACTATAGACCAGTTAGTCTTACCTCGATCCTGGGTAAGCTTTTTAAGAAAATTGTTCTGGTACATGTCCATGAGGGTCCAGCAGGGGAGGTTATGCTTAGGGGCAACCAACATGGGTTCACTAGAGGCAGGTCCTGTCAGATCAACCTGGTGGCCTTCTATGACCAGGTCACAAAATCCTTAGACGCAGGGGTAGCAGTGGACATAATCTTTCTGGATTTCAGGAAGGCTTTCGACACTGTCTCTCACCCCATTTTCATTAAAAAAAATTAGGGGACTCTGGTGTTGACACCTACACAGTCAAATGGGTCACTAACTGGTTGGAGAACCACACCCATAGAGTGGTGGTGGATGGGTCATATTTGACCTGGAGGGATGTGGGCAGTGGGGTCCCCCAGGGCTCAGTTCTCAGACCCGCCCTGTTCAAAATCTTCATCAGTGACTTGGACGAGGGGGTAAAAAGCACCCTATTCAAATTTGCTGATTACACTAAGATGTGGAGGTATGTGGGGACATTAGAAGGGAAGAATAGGCTGCAATCGGACCTAGACAGGTTACAGGGGTGGGCAGATGAGAACAGGATGGGTTTCAACACTGACAAGTGCAAGGTGCTGCATCTTAGGAGGAAGAACCAGCAGCAGACCTACAGGCTGGGGAACTCCCTTCTTGTCAGTGCAGAGGCAGAAAAAGATCTTGGAATCATTATTGATGCCAAAATGAACATAGGCCGACAGTGTGGGAATGCAGTCAGGAAGGCCAACCGCACCTTGTCATGCATCCACAGAAGCATCTCAAGCAAGTCCAAGATTGTGATCCTCCCAGTCTATGCGGCACTGTTCAGGCCACAGTTGGAGTACTGTGTCCAGTTCTGGGCGTCGCACTTCAGGAGGGATGTGGACAGCATCGAGAGTGTTCAGGGGAGGGCCACTCACATGATCAGGGGGCAGCAGGGCAGGCCCTACGAGGAGAGGCTACGGGACCTGAACCTGTTCAGCCTCCACAAGAGAAGGCTGAGTGGGGATCTAGTGGTCTGTTACAAACTAGTCAGAGGGGACCAGAAGGCATTGGGGGAGTCCCTGTTCCCCTGAGCACTACCAGGAGTGACTAGAAATAATGGTCACAAGCTGGCAGAGGGTAGATTGAGACTAGACATCAGGACGCGCTACTTCACTGTCAGGGTGGCTAGGATCTGGAACCAACTTCCAAGCGAAGTGGTGCTTGCTGCTACCCTGGGGGTCTTTAAGAGGAGGTTAGATGAACATCTTGCCGGGTTCCTTTGTCACCAGTACTTTTTCCTGCCATGGCAGGAGGTCGGACTTGT